CCCCCTCGCGCGGCCCGGCAGCGGCGGCACAATGCTCTAGCTATTCTAGGCTATCCTTCATTAAGGTCTTTCTTTATTTATAAATTTTAAAAAAAAGATTAAAAAGAAAAACGTGTGGGATTCGAACCCGGCTTCCTATAGAAGTTATGTGGTGTTGTCCCGAAAGGGTTTAGTTTTGCACTTAAAAACATGTGACCTGTATGTGGCCTTGTATTGGCATATAGCCACTTAATGTAATTGGTTAAATTTTTAGCCTAAACCTGGTGCACAGGCCACCTTTTTCCCCAATCCTCTTATCTTTCCAAAAGCCTTTCTTATCAAAAGCCTTATCCTCTTATCGGCTTATCAAAGGCCTTATTTTTCTTATCAAAGATACGTACCGCCCAAAATATCCACACTAAAATTAGCTCAACGCTAGTCATGCAGCTAAAGCCTTAGCTCCATATCTCAGCCAATAAGAAGCCTGGGATCCAGACGCTAGTGGTGTGCACAGACGAATTGCCTAATTAGGAAATCCCTTCTTGGCCAAACACAACATCCCTCCTAAAAGTCGGGCATCCCTCCTAAAAGTCGGGCATTATGCAAGTCAAGCATCATCAGTCGAAAGCTCCCCACTTACACGCACTAACAAGGCTACAACTTAAACACTACATTCGCTCAGCTCGATCATCATAGCTCCAAATCGTACACCTCAGGATACTATCAGATGGCCCGTTGAAATGCGGTTGCCTATGCCGTCCCGCGCCCACAATGTCCGTTGAGATTTGGCCTCCCATCTCGCCGGCTGAGCTTAAAATCCAGGAAGATGCCACTCAGGTACGATCCCATCACCCCCCGTTCATTCATTACCTTGCTTCCAATCGTATCCCCCTTATTAGGCCCCAAATCCCAAGTTCCGTATATAAAATACTATGCTCCTCACCGAAGACGACTTCGTCCTCGTCCCCGTCCCCCCATACCACTCTCTTACAACTATATACTCACCACAGCGGCAACCTAAACAGGCCCGCGAGCTAACCTGGCTCCTAACCTCCCTGCGCGCGACCCTCGAGAAAATCAAGCGCGGCCTCGAGGACTGCTGCGCGCTACTAGCTCCCGCCGACTCAGCCGGCAGCACGCTCGTGCTAACAACGCCACGCAACGAGACCGTAAAGGGGCACACGACGCGTGTGGGGGCGCGCCTGGTGCGCGGCTTAGTCCATCTCAGGCTGCGAACTCTCCCACCACAAACTCTATCCCTCGACCCGTCCCGTCCCGTCCGTGTCCCCGCTCTAATCCGTCTCGACGCCCTTCTCTCGCTCTCGCTTGAGTTATGCCTCGCCCTCGAAAAACACCAGAACCAAACTACGCCCCCGCCCTCCGCGCCGTACATCGCCTCCGAATTGCGGCTGCTAGCACTACATATTGCAGAAGCAGCAGCGCTAGTCAGAGGGCCGCCTCAACCGCCTGCGCGCCCATCTACTAGTGCTTCTACAGCGAGCCATGAGGGGCCCGGACGCCAGCACCCGCCGGAGCAGAAAGTTCCTCTTGATACCGCGTGGACGACGAATTCGGTGTCACTAGGCCATTTCACGCCCCCGCTTAGTCGTAACCTATCCCTCTACATAACGATTCAAGAGGCCTGTCTGGTCATCTATTTGCGCGCCCTCGAACCCGCCGACGCACCCGTCAATTTCGGAACGAAACTTGCACTCGCTATTGGTACAACACGGCGTATTGAGCACGACGAAGCCGATCGCGTGTTCTCGTACCGATGTGACGAGTCGCGAATTGATGGTGGCACGTCCGCCCCTGAGCATCATGGTAGTCGTAGTGGTAGTAGCAACAGTGGTGAGGATAACGAGGGGACTAAGAAAGAAGTCGAGGTATATGTACGCGAGAAGGTGCGCGTTGAGAGCGCGGACCCTAGCCTCCTTTCGCTATCCGCAAAGTTGAGCGCTTTAGGCAATACGTTGGGGTTGGCGCGGCGTAATTTGGCCGCCGTTATGGAACAAGATTTGGAAGAATAAAGCGACACGAGGGAATCTGGTATCGCCGAATTGCCTCCTGCTAATATAATAGTACAGTTGAGCTATATGCATTAGGGGAAGATGAGCTAGAGTCTCACGAAATGAAAACGAATGACAGCAGCATTAGCTAATAAGGTAACACGTTTAAAATCACAAGACAATCAAATCGCGATAAACACTTAAAACTTTTTCTCGAGTTCGACTTCAGCTATGAGTTTGCCTCCAAAAAGAAAACTCGAATTGCTTCGTATTGGTATCAGTGAAATGTGACCATAGTCTTCAGGGCGTAATTTTCAGCTTCTCCAAGCTCTCATCATGAGTATCCCGATCTCGGCAGTAAAAAGTACAATCACTTTCGCAGGTGCCCTCACGCCAACGTGGCGGATCGACTACATAAAGAAACAATCGCCTCCAAACTCCAATTCTCCATATCAGATGCTTAGTTCGGTTTAAAAATCGGCTGATATTAACGCAATCGTCCTTCCTTCGTGGGAATTACGCCACGGGTGACCATGGCAGTGGGACAAGAATCCTTGACTTCATGGACTGGATTAGAGGAACAGTCTTATGGACCGTCTCGGCCCAGCCTTCTTGCTTCCAGCTCTCCTCTCGTCGAACTTTACGCTCCTCGAGGTTCGCAAATTGCCAAAGATGGTGGACTGTGTTCAGATCGCCGATCTGTACGAACCAAGCACCTACACCTTCCATGACTTGTCTTCGCGCCTTTAAGCCTCGTCGCCAGTGGGTTTCCCACTCCAGCAGGTTTCCAGGGTGAAGAGTGTACGAACGCAACTCGAATAAACCGCCCAATTGGCGTGGTGCAGTAGTTGGCCAGAACGAAAATTCCTGCATAATCGACGTGTTCTTAGACTTGATAAGTGTCTTGAGCTTTTTGTCGAATTCGGCGAAGTCGGGGTGGCGGGAGATGGAATTTAGGGACTGGTGGTATCCTTGGTAACGCTGATACTCCCAGATGTGAACTTAACATTTACGTGATTAGCATATTGTAACCAATTTTGTGAGGCAGAGGCGTAGCTTACCGAATGTATCACAATCTCCCACCTCGGTTCGCCAGCTTCCAACGAGATGAACCTTATTATCCTCCAAGGAAGCCATGCGCGGATACCATTGGCCAACCAACTGAACATACTCATCCACCTTGTCCGGCCGCACCTCGTGGAACACGATCGAGTGAACGTACTTGCCACGAGCCAGAACCGCGGAGAAACTTGCTTCGAGTTGAGCATCCAATTCGCGTCCCTCTTTTGTTCCGTAGATAACCCTGGATAGAAGATTATCGGGTCGCTCGGGTTCCTTAGTTGACACCTCCGCTCGCTTTCCTGTATGGGTGCTTAATGAGCCCAAGCCCTGGGAGGTTTCTCGGGCAGCAGACGAAGAATCATTAGTAGAAGAAGAATTTTTAGTGAACCTACTTGCTTCGCGCTCCTGGTGTGCTTTGACCAACTGCTCGCGGAACTCCTTCTGCTTCGAGTTGAACGAGTCGACACCCTCGGGTGTGATGTCGGCCAGTGTCGGCGTACGCTGGCTAGCAGCGGTGGAGCTGAACGCTCGAAGAGAACGCGGAGCTCCTGCCGCTGCTGCTCGCGCGAGACGTCGGGAAAACATAGCGATTGCTTGAGTTTGAGATATTTCTATGGGGGGTGTAAAAAGAATAAACAGGAACGTTTGGAGTGAGGGGGGAGTGAGGGGATTTGGTTACAGCAGGATTCGAGAATGAAGGCTACGATAAACTTGGTAACAGCGTCAAATTTGACGCAAGTCGATAAGAAAATGAGTGAAAGTGCTGAGGAACGCTAATGTCGAGATTGGTTGGTGATATGGACCATATCATATGGTCAAGCTACCTAGAAGTGTGGGAATGGTGTATCAGGTGTATCAGGTATGTATGAAGACCCCTGCACGGATATAGTGGTTTTTCGCGGGGAAGTCCAGATGAATTTAGTCCTCTAGGTAACAGGCAGTTATGGAGGTTCCGCGGAGCAGTTTGGATATCGAAAGGCAAAGCACAACTAGTCGGAGAGAAGAAGCAAGGTCGATGGTGGAGGGTAGCAAGCGGCAGGTAGGAAGTAGCGTTTACAATTAATTGGTTTAGGTAGGTACTTTACTCCCCCGCATCTGAATTCGGGGGGGAAGCTTTAAAGGTTGTAAGTTTATTCCAGTGCGATTTCCCCAGCTTTTGATGCCGCTGCTTAACAAATACGGAGATGATCTCTGAGATGTGTAACACTATGCAATGATGTCACTAGATTTGTCGGTCAATGGTTTGACCGTTGGCCGACAGCGGGGTACAAGATCTAAGTACTTCTTGCCTTAGGCATGCCGCATCAGTATTACATAACACAACTCGATAAGGCAACAATTAATCGCCAAGTTCCGGCTTAGCGGCAGAAGAAAACCACTCGCTTTACAACCTCAACCTCAACCATCTCCAATCTCGACGCCGTCTACCACTCGAATTCTCCGAATACACATTCAAGATGTCTTGGCTCGGTGTTACCCCCCTCAAGAAGTTCCCGGCGCCAGTTCGTACGTCAATTGACTCCGCAGCCCGGATTCGGATTGCATAATTCGCGACAGCTACTAACATATCGATAGTCCGGCCTTATGCCCCCTTCTTCGCCGCTGGTATGATAAACCACGATTGATATTATGCAAAAATTAGCATGCGCGAATAAGCACCTAACAGACGAACAGGCCTGATTATCGCTTACGGTGTCAACTCGGCGCAAAATGCCATGATGAAGTGTATGTGTTGATTATAGCCCCTAGAGGGAAGAGGGCAGAGGAGCAGAAATAATTGACAATGTCTCAACAGCCGACGAGTGGAAGAACGACCCCCGCAACCCGAACGCGAAGTCTGGTGGACACTAGAATGGAGGTGACAAACTTAGGGAACGCGACCAACTATCCCGAGCGAGAAGCATCATAGACGGTCGAGTCATTCCGATAGACGAGCAAGGCAGGACTGTATCATAAATTATGAGTTCGCGTTGAATCGAGAGTTATGTCCAGCAACCTATCCATTTGCGCCGCGGGCGAATGGCAACCCTAGACTTGGGATTTGTACGATCTGTGCTTATCACAATTTCAAGTACAGCCGCTGTCCTAGCAGGTTAACTAAATTCACCAGTTTGAAATACATGGCCAGCTTCAAACTTGGAGTTGCAAGTGTACCGTAATACCCATGCAAGTTTACTTATCGAACATCACCATTCTATCTAGCCCCTCGAGCCGACTAGTCTCTCGCTGTAGCAATTAGGTTAAAGGGAAATAGGCTTGGGAGCTCAGATTTTCAAAAGGAACTAACTTACACCATATTTCATCTATGATCCCGTATGTTAAAAAGGAGCAAACATTGTCAATTTGTTAGATAAACTTTTCTATACCAAGCCAATTAATTAATAAAAGTTCAAATATTCTTCCTCATATGATCGTGGCTGCATGACAAATAGATACCAGCCGTGTTCGGTCAATTCTGGACCGTCTCTTATCACGATACTCGTTCGCCGACTGGCTCATTCACTAAATTAACCTCGACATAGGTACATACATCTTATCAGACAACTTTACACATCTGAACCGACGAATAAGCAAGAATCCCATGCATTTACATAACTCTATAATATAAGCTATAACTAACATAACTCTATACCACTTCCATGAAACTTTTCATCCCACCCCATCCGCGCTCAATCCACTTTACATTAGCAACTTTCCCCCGTCACCAAACCCGGTCCCTCACCATGTCAAAACCGGCCGTACCCGGGGTCACACCAACCCAAACCAAGCCCTCAATCCCCAAAGGCAAAACGGAGCTGAAAATACTCATGCTCCACGGTTACACCCAATCCGGGCCTCTCTTCTCCTCTAAAACCAAAGCCCTCTCCAAACTCCTCATCAAAGCCCTATCCCCCGCGCCCTATAACCTGCACCCAACACTCATTTTCCCCACGGGCCCGTACCGCCTGCGTCCCTCCGATATCCCGGGGTACATCCCCTCGGAGCAAGACGAAGACGAGGAGGAATCCGACAACTGGGCCTGGTTCCGCAAGGACGTGGCGACGGGTGCGTATCGCGGGTTTGAGGAGGGAATGCGGAGTATTGCGACTGCGATTGCCGAAGCGGGCGGCATTGATGGTGTATGTGGATTTAGCCAGGGAGGAGCGGTAGCTGCGCTTGTGGCTGCAGCGTTGGAGCAACCGTATCGGGACCCGCCGTCTTCGTCCCATGTAGCATCCCCTTCGGACCCGGCCTCGCAACCTGACTGGTCCTGGGTGAGCGAGCTGCGCAGCGCGAACAATAACCAAGCGCTACGCTTCTCTGTCGTGTACTCTGGTTTCTACGCGCCGATAGACTCGCTGCGATGGCTATATGAGCCGCCTATCACGACGCCGACGCTGCATTTCCTAGGTAGCTTGGACACGGTTGTCGAGGAGAGCCGGAGCAAGGGTCTTGTGGACCGGTGTAAGGATCCTACGGTTATTGTGCATCCAGGGGGTCACTACGTTCCTGTTGCCAAGGACTGGGCTATGGCTTTGGCAGGCTGGTTGAGGCAGCGGTATGAGGACCCGGAGGTTGCGAGTAAACGGTCACTGTGAATAGGTAGGCAGGGTTACGCCGTTGGGGTCTAAAATTTAGAGGCTCTACAAAAGAGAGAAGACCTGGGATTAGAAATTAGATATGGGGGAATTACACGCACGACTACACGTATAGTAGAATCAAGACATAGAAGGCAAACCTGTTCTTCGCGGGCATTGTGTACCTCCTAATCTAAATATTATACATTCGCATGTTTTTGATGCAAACCTGTGCTGTGCTGTGCTGTGCTGTGCTGTGCAGTTCCTCTCGAAACCAAGTTCCTCTCCCGGCTCCGACAGAATTACTCCCCAAAACAGAGTCATAAGTCGTCTATCACGTCTTCTTCTTACCCTTCTTCTCCTTGCCTTCCTTCACGCCAGGCTGGATCCTCGCCATCATCTCTTCCTTGGTAATGAGATGATCTACACGTTCCAGTAAACCGAGCAGGCTCTTCATGTTGTGGCTCCACTCGTTGAGGACGTCATCGACATCTCTAGGCTTGGCGAAGCTGACTATACTTGCTGGCCGATCAATGCGGGCAAAGACCGTCTTGGAGCACACCAGTTCGCTAATATACTTCTCCGTCTCGTCCTCCGTCAGGTCGAGCAGCTGGGTCAGGCGCTTCATGCCGATGCGGGTGTAGTATTTCGCGATAACTCTAACATTGTGCTCGATAACCCGTTTGCGCAGATCCTGCCATCGCTGGTAGGCTTTCTCGTCGCCTGACTGGTTTGGACTTTCGTCGAAGATATCAGTCGCACAGAGATGAGGACCGTACTGCTTCGAAACCTCTGGCCATCGCATGAGCTCGTGTACTGTGAACAGCTTGAGAAGCGCCGCATCAACAGGGATTTGGGCGTTTCGAGGATCGCGGAGGATACGTTGAAGAAGATCATGTTGTTCGTTGTCGTGGGGAGCGAGTATGACGAAGTAGATGATGCGTTGCAAGACCTAATTACCATTAGCAAAAGTTACCTTGATAAACATATGGGGACAACGTACGGGTTGTAGTTTTGAGGGGTCCTCTTCGACAGCCTCGGTATCCAACACTTGTCTGTAATGCTTGCAGGCATCAAGATACCTGTCGTCGTGCTTCGCTAGAGTGATCTGTTGTTCATAATAGGCCAGCTTCAAGTCGGTGGTGTCGTCCTCTTGCTCGGGGGGAACCTCCTCCCCACGCTTCAGCTTCTCTTCGCGGTCCTTCTTCTCTTTCTCTAGTTGTTCCGCTGTCTTCTTCGGCTTTCGAGATAGATATTTGGTGCTGATCTTGCGGCTGAGAATGCTAGCTTGCGTCCAGTCGCCGTTCTCGATACATAATGCGACTTGGGCAAGTATGAACTCCGTCTTCTCCCGTCTATCCATTGAACCAAATGTTTCTACCTGCAATTCGCAGAGGATATCCATGGCGGACTTAAGATCTCCCTGCTCCTTCTTGATGTCCGACAGGATTTTAGTCACGCGAGCGCGCTCAACCTCGACGAAGATCTTGCCCTCGGTTACGGTGCGCAGGGTCTCAATTACTGATAGTTTAGTATCTAGATCCGGGGTAGCGTCGAGGAAGCCCATAACGGTCTGAACCATCTTGGTGATAGCTTGTTTAAGCTGGCCATGCTTCTTGGAGAGGACCAGGACCTGGTCGTTGAGTAAACTCCAGTTTCCGGCATTTTTACAGATCGTACATATCGCAACTAGAGTTCGGGATGTAGAGGCGAGATCGGAAGCCTGTAAAGTATTGTAGTTAGTGGTGCTGAACGATTACAGATTAGAGAGAATAGCTCACCTGTCGGGTTTGCTTCTCGAAAATGGTAAGCTTCTCGATAGCTGCTTGGATATCATTCTATAACTATGCATTAGCAACCTATATTCCAGTAATTCTAACCCGGATATGTGCACCTTGGCAAGCTTCTCTGCTTCGCTGATTTGTACGTCAGCTTCCTTACTGAAGTCCTTCTCGGGCTTCAGAGCTGCGTCCGCCATGATTTCCGAACTTTCTTCCTGATGTATAATCTAATCGGAGGAAATTGTAGTAATTTCGGAGCAATGTGTGAGGGCGGACTGTTGGCGGGTTATGTTTGATGTGTTAGATAGTTCGTGGTGGAATATTTAAGGCGATGATGATGGAGGGAAGCTTAATTAAGGCGGCTGCGAGGCGACGAAAGCTCGCGCTGCCTTGCACCAGTTGACCTTGAATTGAATTGGTCCAAGCTTAACGCTTGGTCAGCCTGATAACTAAAGTCACATGTAGATAAGCCGTTACAGGTCTCGCTGCGATATGTCCATATTCATTTATCCATCACAACTACATGCATATCCCATCATCAATCACATGGAAGTATGAAAGGCATGAAACTCTTAGTGACCGATCAGCTACTCATTAAATCTACCTAAACTCACAATATATTATCACCTTAAGTTATACTTATTTTCGCAAGCACTACCCCATCAACCAAACCTAAATGTAAAGCATCCGGGTTGATCCATCCGTCCCGTCTCATACGATAGCTACAGCATTCGCGGTGCTCGATATTCCTCCTATAAGTTCGTATTAGTTAACAACTCCGTTCTTATCCAAAACCCAGGCTACATACCTTTCACGTGGTTAGGAGCACTTGAGAGGAAGAATGTCCATTGTTTCCTCTCTACACATTTCTCTGCAAGTTTCTCAAGGTCCCAAAGCTCGCCGATGGGAACTCCCCAAAGTGCCAACAACTTCTCGTGAAGATAGTAATCTGTCATAAGGTAAATTGCATCAGTAATCCTCTTTTTCCCATGACTTTATCAACCGGAACTATCAATATACCTTTCTCAGATGGCCACGCTTCAAAGGCGGGATGGTCTCCAGCTACAGCCGAGAAGTAGGAGTCATGCAATAAGTCGAGAATCTCCTCACTCTGATCCACACCTATATAGCGCTGTTCATCATGAGGCCCGAATTTATTCTTCCCAAGGTGGTGAGGAGCCCTCTCCTCGTATGTAAGCGAATTTGCGTTCTTCAGAAATCCAGATCTGACGACTAGGATATCGCCAATCTGAATGTCGCCTCCTTGTGCGGCAGGTCTCAGATCGATTCCTTGCGACTCTGCCACGTTTACAAGGTCGCTGTGAGTAATTTTGAAGTTATCATAATATACTGGCTTGATATTTCTGGCTTCGGCCCAGCGACCATAGTCCAGAAGTAGACCTCTACCCGCAATGCCGTGCTTCGCCCACGCTTGCATGCCGCATTTTGTCGAAGCATTTTCACCTTGAATATCCTTGGCGGTGGTCTAGATGGCATGATTCAGACTGCGTGACATACGTAGCGGTTGCGGTGAATAAACTTACCCCATTATAGAAATACCCCGAAGGGATGTGGCAGAACTGCGCTGGGTTAACCACTGAGCTAATAAAGCCCGCCAGATACTCAGTCGAAACTTACATGACGAAACCCGTCCCATTGAGAAGTACTTTGAGGGTTCATGTCATAAAGGTCGTCAAATCCGATATTTCCCAGAGCATGAATAGAATGTTTAAAAACCTGCCGTTTATAGCAAGGTGGTGCGACCTGGTCGAATGGAAGACTATGTGTACGAATCAGTAAACAAGCATCTCTATACCTCAGACTAATCATTGCCTAAACTATATTCGAGACACTTTACTGACCCGAGAGGGATGACCTCTCCAGAAGAGACAGTTTCCAGTGCTTTCTTTACCCTTTCCGGCGTTTGCAGGTTTAATCTACCTAGCTTCAGATAGGGTTAGCTGGGTAGCTATTTTATGATCCATGGACTTGAAATAGGAGCCAACGAACTTCATCATCGCTTCCCCATATCCATGCCGCGTCTTCAGGCTGGCCAGATCTTGGCCGCAAGTCTTTTCTTAGTGGAAGCTCCATGCCAATTGATACCGGTGTAGTGTTTAATAAAAGTTGTACTAGAAATATAAATTACGAGGGGGATAATTGTTAATGACAAGATGTAATGTTGAACTAAGGTGATGATGGCATTACATTAGGCAGCGGGGAAATATAAGCCACTAGATATATCGGAGTAATGCAAACTATCATCATATCATGTTTACATATCCACCTATCATCCTTGCCGTTGAAGCTTCCCCTCATGGAACAGACACAAATTTGGAATGGCTTTCTGTACACCGGTGACGTTATACAATTGCAACATATGTGTGATTTATAATACAGTGCAGGTTGTGGAGGTTGGATTCGTTGTCCTCCAATAGATTTGGGATAAGATATATCCGCATTCTTCTACGACTATACTCAATAAAAGAATCTTATCGTCTTTGCTAACATTCCTGAGTTATGCCATCATATAATAGCCTAACAAAGTTTGAGGTGATAATATATAGTAAAAGCTCTCTGGGACTACTTCACAGGTACCTAGGTATTTATTAAGTTATGGTATTGACTCAACCCATCGACCCAGAAAGTCTACGTAAGAAGTAAGGCGCATATGATCACTTGATTAACTCGGATATCTTTTATTCAACTCTATATGAGATAAGCATATATTTATTACGATATAGAATTATATCAAATTTATTCTACTAAACTGAGCAGTTCAACATAGGTAGAGAACCTCCCCTCTACTAATGCAAATCCGCCATCGGTATGACACGCACAGCAACAAATAATATTATGAAATAAAAGGGCAAAGTTTCAGCAACAGGTACCTATCTCGTAAATCAATCTCAGCTTTGCAATTTTACATCAACACTGATTGGTGTGGACCTACACATTAATATCCAACCTATAGTGAAAAAGTCAGTATGATTTCTTATGTTATTATGCCTGATTTCTAGGACAATATTATGGAATGAGGCATTAATTAACTATAACTATTACCTGTATATTGCCGTCAATAATCCCTTTACTTTTAACACCTTCGGTATTCCCTCGTCTGTATGTAATCATTATTAACCACATCAATAGGACCCTTTTTAGACGTTATCGCCCCGGCATCATTTGTCTTATACGGACATAAAGCAACCTTTAAACTATGGAGTGCGTAGAATTAACTTTGAGATCCTTGGCGAGAATTGATCTTTGTTCCTCGAGTGTGTCATGAAGGGTTGTATTCCAAATTAGGGTTATGGTCAAGTACGTTCTATTCCATGCTACTGCGGTTGAAGGCCTGGTGTTATGATAATCTCTCTTACTGGGTTGGATAGATCTAGGGTCACCCATGACTATCAGGTACCTTAAAACTTCATATACTGGTCACTAACAAAACAGGCTTAAATCAAAGGGGGAGAGAGAAAATCTATGTTGTAATCCCGAAACTTGTTCTACTGAAGATGTATTATTATTACCCATTTGACACTATGGTAACGGATATGGAAGAAGCGCTAAAACACTCCCTTTACCTGAATTTTCATCCCACTTATCGGCATCGGATAAAGGGTTCGTTTGATCTTTCAAGCCCCAAAGACAGGTATTTAATAACACTATTTCTCCTAAAGTTCTAAAATTTGATAGCAGAAAATTCTAGGGCGCCTACCTAAGATATCTAGGTACACAATCTTCAAAGAAAATAGCTTTCCAGTGGTACGGCCCACATCAGTATCTAAGGCATCGACTATTAGACGCCATCGTGGACGCTAACAAGATTAGGGCAACCCCAGCAAACATTCTATATAACCTATCTTTTTGCTAAATTATTTTCATCAACTCACCTAAACACAATCCGAATTGGTGTAGTGGCTAACATTTGGTGCTCTCATGGTTCATAACTGATAACTTGACAGATCCGCCAAGCCCGGGGTTCGATTCCCCGATTCGGAGTTCTTTTTATGTTCTGATCTTACTACCCCTTTTTACTCTAAGTGAAAAGCCTTCAGTAGACATACTTTGCATATGGCGTATCTCTGTCGGCCCTAGACAATCCCAAAATATTAGTAGGTGATAGTGTTAAGTTCGCCCATTGATAAGGGGATGTTTACATCACCCATGACAACGTTAGCCACATGCCTAAGATATATTTCCTCAATCGCGCATAAGTGCCTACCTACTTGGAACACTTATTCTAACGATCTCTAGTTGAATATTTTCGACCCTTTTCCTTCATTTTTCTTTTTATTAAAATAACAATTGCAACAAGCATGATAAAGCCTCGACGTTTAAACATATTCGATTGTGCGCAGACCAGGCTCTTCACGTCGAGTCTACCCGACGACGTATGGTTAACCTAGACAAGTCCGAAACAATTCACGTATTTATAATAAAGGGCTTGTCCCCTCTACCAACTCTCGACAGTGCGAGAGGTTACCGCTGACTTCCACCACCCTTGCTCATGGCCTACCTCCCATGGTAAGTGAGCTTTTGGCTAAGTTATTTATATCCCTTGTAAGAGAGGTGAGCCACTACCTATGCCAAAGGAACGCTCCTCTCGAGAGCATATTTTGCGGAATATAATATTAGAAATAGATAGGGGGTTTATTGCTTCTGTTGTGATATCTCTAAACAAGACTAGCCATAAATCTTTTATAAAAAAGGGAATTAAAAAACAAAACCAGCAAACTACTGATTGTGCGTCTATTACATATGAGAACCTAAACAATTAAAATAAACATATCGAGCCTGGAGCCTAAATCCCGGAAGCTATCATATGCCCAGGTTTTCGGTCTTATTATACGGAGATCCCGTGTCCGGAAAACAACCACCAACCGGAGAACCTCTCGGCCTTGTATCTTCCCTCCCGGTAATTTCTTCCGAATCCCAACTCACATATTGAGTCAGTTTTCGTCACTTCCCAAGTAAGTGCTTAGTCCCATATGGTGCTACAAGGCCAATAGTCTGCTCTGAACAACCCATCACAAGACTACAACTACTTATAAGTTGGTCGACAATCCAAGTGTTGTGCAACAAAGTGCAAGATCGTGAATCAGAAAACTTTCCTCACACAAAGACGGCCACGAAACGATGTGGTTGTTTTTTAACAAATACATCCGACAAATCTTCTATTTAATTTTATCTCTCCCCAGCCTTGTTCTTTCAACATCGACATCCTCATAGGTTATGCCATATACACTCTTGATCGTCCAAATTACCTTTGAACTGCTCACCCATCAAAGCTTCTAAACAAGGAGATCCAATACAACTCGTTCGTCTTTCAACTGCAAAATCGACAGCCAAGATGTGTCGACTCGAGCACTGGCTTTGCTGCATATGCGAGGACGCTTATGTCGCCCTTAACTTCTTCTGTGGGGATGTGGCTCCTGGAGCACCAGCCTGTTCGAACACGACCCGTTACGAGCGACATATTGTAGCACGCTACTGTTACTTCTGTTCTAACGTAAATCATCGCGGTGCCCCTGTGATGTCAAGGACCAAAGAATACCTCGAGAATCTCGCGAGTCTGGAAGGCATGATTCGTGTGGCGGCCAGACCAGACCGAGACGATGTTACTGTTTCGGTATTTAGCAACTGGCTAATGGGGTTCAATGGCCCGACAAGCATCCGCCCTTTCAAGGCAGGTCATCCGGCAATACATAGCAATTCCACGAAAGACCACTTCGCACGCAACCTTTCACCACCACAAAAGGTAGCCTCTTTCATCCTTACTTCATCTGAAATATCTCGGGCTAGCGCGTTCAACTATCAAACTGCAATCCTGTCGAACTTGACGGCTCAGCCATGTTTTCGACCTCCTGTACCGATCCCTGAACAAGGCCTTGTGGGCGGCCAGCCTGGTCGTAGAACCGACAAGGGAACCCGTCGCTGGTCAAATAGGACACATAGGATGATGTCTGCCGAGATGGACCAGCAAGACTCGTCATCTTCTCACCCAAATCCATCTCATACATCACCAAGGGATGCTGTATATGCTTCTTGGGAGGACAGCAATGAGTCCCGGGATGCTGCCAAGCCAGATATCACTATGCCCAACGAAAAGCATTTGCCTGTATCTCTTACTCCGGCCACTCCCGCCAATATCGATGTTCTTGCGACAGCATCCAGCAATGACTTAAAAGGCAAGCAAATTGTGACCCCGCTGGCCTCTGCTCCAACTTTCGCAGGTAATGACACAAAACCTGCTACTGATACTGTAGACCGCGTTGGGCAGCCTGTTGTCATGAGCTATACAACCGTGGCTTCCAGCACCCCGACTGCTTCGGTAGTATCCAACATTGATACCACTAAGGGTAACAGAACCGACAAGCAGGAGGGCGGGAAACTCCCCGAAATCCAAAGGCCCACCCGATCACCCGCTGTTGTCCCGGTGATTCCTCTTGTTCCTATCGTTACAGCTAAGATTCCTCGAGCGCCTGTTACATCCCGAATCGCATCTATCCCAGGAGCTGTTGCTACTCCGATCGTGACTTCGACTGTGGCCCCGACTCAGACGAAAGCTAAAACTGCGACTCCAGCACCAATTAGTCCACAACAAGTCGTCGTCGTATCAGCCAAGGTAAACGTTGAGAAGGCCAAGGCTAGTACTGCCAAATATGCCACTCCTAAGGACACCGCAGCTTCTCAACGTGAGGAGGATGAGCAAAATGCACCTGTGCTACCCGAGACACAGAAGAAGCCCCTCCTCTATAGCCAGGCAATTGCTACCGGTGCCTCATCCGGGGCTATTCCTACCGGCCCCCGCGGTCACTCCATAGACCACTCTAAGAGCCAGGACGAGCCGAAGAAGAAGGATCTCGTCCAGAAGGGATCGAAGAATTCACGCCCGAAGAGTAAGGGGCAGAAGCAAAAACGTGGACAAAAGAAACAGCAGGAAGGCACGCAAGAACTGGAGCCTAAGCCGGCGCCTAAACCGGAGCCCAGACCGGAGCCAAAGTCGGGACAAGAGCTGGAGCACCATCAATTCCGACTACCAAGCCTATCCTATCGAGATGCCCTTAAAGGCAGTCCGAAAAGCAACACTCTGCCCAGCTCGTCCTAACTGAATTTACCTCCATCTTGACTCCGAACAAGGGGGAATAGAGGCCAGATCAGCATAACCAAGCTCTTAAGGCGGAAAACACAGCAGGTATAACCTATCTGGACTCTGGACAATTACCTCCGAGGAAGGTGGATTTGATGCGATGATATATGGATCATGCTATGATCTTCTCTCGCATCGTCTGCAAGTCCTAGGCCACTAGAACATTTTCGTACGGCGTTGTGGAGTTCTACGAGTATTTTTACGCAGGGACCTCTCTCGAGTCTCGACTTGTTTATTTGTTTGTGTTTGTTTGTTATCGTACTCGGATTTTTGAAAGGGGGGCAAGGACGGATGGAGCTTTTGTTCCGGTCGATATTATTTTTATTGTTTTTGTTTGATGTATGGGAGGAGTAAGAAATGAGACGAAATAGGATAGGAAAAATACTACAAGTGGAGAGGTTGGCTATTACTATGAAGCCATGTCGTCCACGTTGTTGGAACTTAGCATTTGCACTACAAACATAATGAAAAAGTTTTTATGATTTCTCATCCCAACTTAGGTACCTAATTAGCCGTATATTTTGCCATGTAAGTATTCGTTATGCCACCCTAACTTAGATATCACAAACCAGGCTGTCATAGATGTAGTAAAACCTTCTAGAGTTGGCCGAGAGTAAGAAAAGACTATCGCGTCTTGTCCCCGTTTTGTCTCTAGTAAGAGACTTCTGCACGGCTTAGTCTCATAGCTTATAAATGAGACCGATACCTCACGGCGTTGAGCATATACTTTGCCACAGGACCATATAATGCATATAAGTCTAAACGGGACAGTTGTTGACTACGCCACCTGAGGCGTGTCTCGGGATAGAGGCGAATATAACACGTGTAGCGTAGTCGCGTTTCATCCTGAATGCCCCGTTTGCGGCCTAGCATTAGACACCTGTCGAAACACTAGGCAGACAAACCAAGGTAGGGCTGGTTGTGAAACATATAGTTACAATATCCAGCCATCGATAGAAGCCGACAGTCAAGCCATAAATGCTCCGGAGTCCGGGCTATCATGGCAAACAATTATCAGGGATGCGACATAGATACGTGGCGCAAGAGTGGCAGAGTGGCTGGCAAGATGGGGAAATATTCGTATTCGCGTTGCCTCCTGAAGAATTCTGCCTCGTATTTCTAAGGGTCTCTATGGGAATCCCGTAGATTCGCATCTAGCCTCGCAAGTTGTCGTTGTAAAGTGGCAAAAGGAGTGGAAACAAAGTGGAACCTTACCTAACGAAGCCGGAATTGAGCTTAGGTCATGTGACAGGGGTAGCTTCAGCCACAGTGGACAGCTGCCACATTATGGCTTATGATTCGGCTGTGAATAAGACAGGGGAACAAGGGGGCGATGGTTGGTGCGAGAAGAGTGGCGAATATTCTCGAACAAGTCTCCCCCAACTTTCGACGGCGTCAGCGGCGGATTCGCGGGTGAGGCCTATTCCGAGCGGAGATTGGCGCGCTGGCGAGACCTCGAGGCTACATACTTATCAGCTCGGGTTCGCCTAGCTGCCTAACCAAATGCGATATGCGACGCCATTCCTTAGAATAATGCTTGCTCTGCATAGCGGAGCGGAAGAAGCTTAAGATAGCTCACCCTCATAGCTACCAAACGATATCAGCATGTCACTATGATCGAGCTGAAGGGAATGATACTCATGTTCAAGAGCCGCCGTGGCGAAACGAAATGTGTGTTGTTATTCAAAGGGTTGATGAGAAGACAATTCGGCCCTTTCTTAAGGTCGCGATCTCTAGTTTGGCTAGCTATGGCTCCCAGCTCGATATCAGCTTTAGCCCAGCTCATTAAGCTTCGCGACCTAGTGATCCCCTAAATCTACTTAATCCTAGACCGCGCCCAGGTAGCCAGGCAGCCCAGGCAAATACTAATAAATTATCGAGGAGTATGATCCGAGCATTAGGACGTTAATATGTGGATACCTCCACACCTGCTCACCGACACGGGTCCTAAGAGGCCGGATGATCTGCTAGGCGCGATCTTAGGTTACCTATAACCGAGGCCACAAAGTAGGGATAGTTAGTGAAGGCAAGAAAGTAATGACGGAAGATATGCCTAATATTGATCAAAAGTTATAAGGTAACAACGCATCCAATGTCGTATTGAGACGAAACAATCTCGATGACTTTGGTAAAGGGCCGCGTGCGGATGAATCGGGATCGAAAAACGGTCAGTCCTCGTACCGAATTCGACGCTGGTAGTGCGCATGCAGACGAGGAGGAAGCCTTCACTTTCTAAGAGGAAAAAGGATTGCGAGCTTGAATGTGGACATCGTTTGCTATATCTGTTGTCTACCTATCTATCTGAGGGGGCTAAATGCTCCTAGCTTCGCATTTACACCAGCCGGTTCGAAGCCGCCATTCGATTAGCTATAGCCCCGGCCGTTTGGCTATGGCGGAGCGCGGGAACACGATCCTTACGGTTGCACTCGGCGGGACGGTTGGGCATGAAGCTGACTCCTAAGTTGCAGGCCAGAATGGTGGCTAAAGAAAGGAACATCTAGTGTGGGTAATGGGAATTATACACATGCAGCGTACACATATATGCTTCTCATGCGGATCGTGGGGATCGTGTGGGAACATCCCGAGAGGCCAAGATGCGTAGACGTAGAAGTGGGGGATTTGATCGTTCGCTCGAAACATTTGTTGCCCCTTTTCTTTACTATGGCGTGCCTCCCAAGAGAGGGGTGCCTCGAAGGAAACAGTTTGATTATCAATAATTCAGCGAGCTTATTTGCATCGCAGGCGCCACCGTGTCGGTATTAGCGGGTCAAATAGAATGTCTCACGGTATGTAGATGCAGGATATTGGCCATTTGCTTATCCGCGAACAACCCTGTGGCATATTAGTACCTACGTTAGGTACCTACGCCAAAGAGAGCCCCCCAAAACGGTGACGGATCTGTAAGGCTGTCGTCGCATCCTCTTACTGATCGTCACCTAGTTACTACCTAGCAATAGCAGATAAGCGTCATGGACAATAATCAGGAGGTTTAACGACAACCCTAGAACGTTCTCTCATGGATTGTCCGAGCACGAGCTTATTCAAGTTCGAATTCGCTCATGTAGAGAGGAAGATCGGTCGAATTGATCTAGAATCTACGAGCATCACGTAAAGGCGGTCGAAGCCCAAGGGAAAAAATGCTGTTCGCTGGGACCACTAACAAGGTAAGCGTTGCAGATCCATATTGGCCTATCACATGTGTTACGGAGCATTTGCTCCGGCTCACCATAGAGCAGTAGTATGCCCCCGTTTAGCTGTATGCTGGATTAGACAAGCACAAAAAATTAGGAAGGATAGGCAGAGTGTAAACAGAACTGCTAGAGTAAACAGAAATGAGAAACTCTAGAAATGAGAAACTCTCTTGTACATTTCTCGGGGTTGTCTGTTACGTATCCCCATGACCAGTAATTGCCACAGGGGGGGGTTCATTAGCAGCATATCAGTGGTCAAATGTGCTTTTTTGGTTCGGTGGTGGCGATTCTATAGTCGTATTACAATACTCTTATGGACGTTTGTGTCCTATTTCTGTACTCGAAAGCCACACCAACATTTAATGAGCCACGTTTATACGGATGATATGCAACAGTTGTCGTCGAGACTTTCGTCCTTCCAGGGACTTTCCATATTCAGGTGTTCTTTGCAATTCGGGGCAAAGACCCAGCTTGCAACTTTAATGTGCACTGAGCACACCGCGGAGTGCCCTGTCTGCGGGAAACAATATCTCGTCTATGTCGAATTCTGCAAAGACTATCATCCTCCATTGTTACGGTGCCCTAGGGGAATAGCTGAAGAGAGCGAAGATATGCAAGAAGGAAGATGTCCCAGTCCAGTTTGTCCTTACAGTCGCACCGGCGGTTGCAGTGTCAGTTAACACAGGGTATGCGCATCTTCGACAAGCCGGTATTTCCAGTTTGGGAGAGCACCCCCGGTCGAACCTATGCAATTAGAGCTTCTCCCCCCCAGTACCGACCTCGACAATTTGGTCAATTCCCTGATACTCTGGCACCTCAAAATCATATTTCTTAGCAATTGCCGGAGAGACAAAGCTGCGGGGTACGTCAGTCAAGAGGCTTTCTCATACTGTAAGAAGACCCTTACCGGCCGCCTACAAAATGACGTCCTTTGAAATGTTTGACCAGTGGCTTGGGAGCTGTCAGGCTGATCAAGAAATCAGGGCTGAACTTGCTTCCCAGGCCGGATTCCGGTGGTCCAGTTTCAATATTCCAAGATGATGGTGCGTCAACGGAGGTTACAGGAAGCTTAGTGTCCTCTAAAGCACGGATCACCGCAGGAAAGGGCTCGCGAACCTCGCCCGAGAAGCTGAACCCTTGCTCATAGATGAGTCTAGTATATTCAAAGTACGACCATAATTACTTACCGAAAACGGCATCCACAATATGATCCGTCGATTTAATAGCCGCTAGGAAATCTTCCACGAACGGCACCTCGAGGTCTTCTAGCTGTTTAGCGAGTCGCTATTTGGAAGAGTTTACGATCAGTATCTCGGACGCTAGATTAAATCGTCTGAGCAGAACCAAACACGATATATACGCGCTGTAGCCCACGACTTAAAGGGTTGATATAGACAAGTCTAGGTGTATAGGGGCAGTGATGAAATAGAGCGGTTAAGAACGTGGCTAAGGGTCATTATGACTTGACCGAGACGGAGAAATCAGAGGGTACATGCGAATCAGTTCCGGGGTGGTAATAGTGCTGGGAGGTTTCAAAGACAGCATGCGATATCCTGCGTACCTGGTAGAGCTCGTTTTTGCTTTGTTTTGGATAGTAAATAGCCGGCCGATACCCATAATGACGAAGATGACGAGCTGCAACGAGCCCATCGCCACCTTTAACATATTAGAAATCTTGACTATGCAGTTCAACGGAGTTGCTAACCGTTATTACCAGGACCGCAAGCTACAAGCACTCTGTTGCCTTTACTCTGGGGGTGAACCCGGTACACTGTACAGCAGCCATTAGATACCGGTTGACAAGTAATCAGCCAAGTTAAAGCGCGTGCCAACTTGTGAGACTGCTAATCCGGCAAGCTCCATGAGCTGATCAAGCGAAAAGGCACCGGTGCTCATAAGCTCTTTATCTAGAGCTGCTGCGGCCTTCGCCGATAAGGTCTAAAATGGTGTAAGTCAATTTCCAACTTTGATATATTGATATGCCACTTAGCTTACTTTGATTGCCATGGTTATTATTATACTGTATATATAATGTTGAGAAGTTGATAGTTATGAGGTTTACCAATTTAAACTACCTAAAATCAAAAAGGTTGGGAAGTTACTTGAGAAAGGAGGAGTTTGAGAGTTTAGGAATTTAGCTAGTCAAACTGATCGACTGACATCACCGGGGGAAGCTGTGATCTTAATTGGCTTCAACTAGTCTAAGTACCATACGATCAACTGACTAAGCAAGTGCATGGCTCCGATTGGTTAGAACGGACAAAACAGTCTCCAGGTCCGCCAAAATTATTGAACCTTATTCCACTTCCGCAACCTTATCGCATGCGACACCAAATTCAGTACAATCGTAAGTCGCAGTCGACCTGCAAACCTCAAAACGGCACTGCGATCAGGATGGTGGTGAAGATTCGTCTTGCGCGCTTTGGGCGCAAGAACTCTCCTTTCTACAATATTGTCGTCGCCCATGCGAGGTTAGTTTTATTTATATGAGCCACTCAACCAAAAATGTTCCCAACCGGCTGGTATCAAGCTAACCACTGGAATAGAACGGCACGAAACAGCAAGCCGCTCGAGGTCATCGGCACGTACGACCCGATCCCAAAGCCCGACCCGTATGATGACTCGGGAAAATTGCACAAAGACATCAAGCTAGACACACTAAGAGCTCAGTATTGGATCGGTGTTGGTGCGCAGCCCACAGATACTGTTTGGAGACTATTATCAATGGTATGAAACAGATTTCTCAACTTTTGCTAGTCTTACGTCATGACCGTAAACGCGTGAAGGCATAGGGATTGTATCAAATACTAATTGGATGCTGACTACTCTCCAGGTCGGCATCATGGAACCAAAATATCGAAATACCGAACCACGGACTCCGCCCCCCATGCCGCGCGAGATCCAAGGCGATTCAAAACCCCAAGATCCGACAAATTAAGAATTGACATATCCGTGTATACAAAGCGTATCGCGCCTCGTAACCTTGGTATGGGACAGTAACATTAAGAAGGGAGATCGTCTAAGTCGACTTGCACGATTTTATCCTCTTTTTATAGCAAAGCCAGGCTCTTGGACTTGGAATATGTCCACTGAGACGGTAGCTCAACCTAGCATGTATATATTAGAAAGCAGGAGGGCTTACTCTTCGATACGTCTTCGAAGATTGTATAACTATCACCATCTCAGGCATAATGCTCGTCGAGGCATCTAAGCCATCTAGATGACAAAATAACGAAAAGAAACGAACCAAATACTGCACTCGCTGGTCTACTGTTAAATACCTTGCCAAGCGCGATAAAGTATCAATGTGTATCATATGCATTGACCCATCTACTAGGTTGACAAGTTCGAAATCAAATATTATTATGAATTAACTAACCCTCAAAATGGTAAACATGGAGTATATACGTGATATAGTTTTAGGTAGCCAAACGGGCTACTTCTTTTAACGTATTCTCTACTACTTAAATCTTGACTAAAAAGCGTAATTGGTTTTTAACCCATGTAAAGTGCTATAGGACGAGCCATTCCGATGTTATAATGCATGGAACATATAGTAGGGGTGAAAATCCTCCTGTCTCGCAAAGAACTTACCAAATGCGCCGAACTGAAGTGAAGCGACACTGAGCAAATAATAAAGCTGCCTCTCTCAAAAGCAGCTCAACTTCGCCTACTCACAGACCAGCTCCCCCACCATTCACAGTCGGCGCCGGATTCGCATCCGGAACCAAAACCCAATCCTTGACGCTGCCCTTCCAGTCGCTGGTTCGTATATCATTGATATGCACCAGTATAACGCGCACCTCCTCGCCCGCAACGAAGCACTCGCGACCACCATCTTCCTGCCCTCCCGGTGTCAGCCCACCCGCAGCGTTGAACGCGACGCCGCCCTCGGAGTCGAAGGTGTTGTTCTCGAGATGCTGGCTACGATAATATTCCTCCTCGGCCGAGCCGCGGGATACGAGCTCCGCTGTCCCGTTGATTGTTGCACTGATGCTGGATATGGCGCTCGTGTTGAGGTTCAGCAGTAGCGATGCTAGGCTCGATCTATTCTCGGGTCCGGGAGAGCCACCCGACATCCTCCGGCCCTGGGTTGGAGGCCTATGTGAGACCCCTGCAAGCGGTTAGCCGTATTCTGGTGCCTTTTTTTCCTGATAATAATCGTCAATTAAGGGTGCTCACAGTCGTGAACTAATAAGGAGACGTTAGGGTTGACCACGAGGTTATTAGTCTTCTTAGACGAAGGATTCGTCGTCATGACGATAACCGGCGCGGAAGAATATTGTGAAGAAGGGATATAAGTGTAATTCATCAGTGACACGTGCGGTTGGTTATCGGTACATGTCGCCAGGTGAAGCTATACCGGGGTTCTGGGTTAGCGGCCGGGGGGTCGAACATGATAAGCAGGGATTGGCGGGGGACTTACAAAGCGAGCATTTTCGAGGCATTGGACGACTTCCGGAGGAAGTGACGTAACCAATTGTTTGTGTGTGTCGCCGGCCGAGGCCTCGTGGTTAAGAGATATCTGATCCATCGCGTCGGTGGTGAGCGTTGGGGATCTCTTGTCGCGTGAAGTGGTTTGACGATGGAGGGGTCAAAAGTTATAATCCTACATGTATCAGCGATCCTATCAGCGATCCTATCAGCGATCCTATCAGATCTCCCATGATGACGCTAGGGTTGGGGCTGAATCCCTGGAATACTCCACTGAGGCTAGAGCTAGGAGCTTGGGCCATAGCTAAAAAGACAAGCAGGAGCAGGGGATTAGAACCGCGGCTTTTCGCGGGGGTGGGTCCGCTTACTTACGGCTTTCATCCATCTCACCTCGAGGACGGCAAGATGGAATGGACGAAGTTATCTTCTTTCCCTCTTATCATTCTCTTTTAACATACCTATTTCAATGTATTTACTCTATAACTTAATACCTATACTGTTCCTACCTCTCATAGCCACCTCATGAGGCATAAGCCAAAGGATATATCACTTTAATCTGAACATATTCAAAATGCGTTCAATTAAGCCAAGACATATCCGCCGAGGTCCATTTCCCCGTTACCTCTCATCAGCTAGTTCTTCTATCCAACTGCATGTTACTCCTATAACATCTCTACTAATTGCAAACCGCGGTGAGATTGCATTGAGGATAAATAAGACGGCTGAACGCCTCGGTATAAAAACTACAACGTTATATACTGACCCGGACGCCTCCGCACAGCATGCTTCTTGCTCGCCACATTCCATCGGTCTTGGTGCCGCTAATGGATACCTTGATGGAGAGAGGATAGTGAGATTAGCAAAGCAGCACGGTATTCAGGCATTACATCCAGGTTATGGCTTCTTATCGGAAAACTCCGCTTTCGCCAAGAGGTGTGAGCAAGAGGGAATCGTGTTTGTTGGGCCACCTGCTCAAGCCATGGCAGACATGGGAGACAAAGCCCGAAGCAAGGAGATTATGACTAAAGCCGGCGTACCATGTGTACCCGGCTATCATGGCAGTGAGCAGGGCGAAGCGGAGTTGTTGCAATATGCGAAGGAGATCGAATTCCCAGTCTTGCTAAAGAGCGTAAAGGGAGGTGGCGGCAAGGGCATGCGTATCGTCATGGAAGAAGGAGAGTTTATCCAACAGTTGAAGAGCGCGCGAGCAGAGGCCAAAGCTTCGTTCGGAGAGGGCGGTGAGGTTATGCTGGTTGAGAAATATATCGTACGGCCAAGACACGTCGAAGTGCAAATATTCGCAGATAAGCACGGTAACTGCGTTGCTCTAGGAGAACGGGACTGCAGCATACAGCGCCGCCACCAAAAGATATTGGAAGAGTCGCCGGCTCCAGACTTAGATGATGTCACAAGACTAGATCTATGGGAAAAGGCCAAGACGGCGGCCTTAGCAGTAGGCTACGTGGGTGCGGGAACAGTAGAATTTATTTTCGACAAGGATACGGGCGACTTTTACTTCATGGAGATGAACACTCGACTCCAAGTTGAGCATCCCGTCAGTGAGATGGTCACGGGGACGGATCTAGTGGAATGGCAATTCCGTATTGCAGCTGGAGAAAGATTACCATTGACACAAAAAGAAATTATAGACAGAATTCACGAGAGGGGAGCGGCCATTGAAGCCAGGATATACGCCGAAAGTCCCGAAAAGGGCTTCCTACCTGACTCCGGGAAGCTTGTTCATCTGAAAACTCCCAAGGTCGATGAGGACATCCGAATCGATGCTGGTTTTGTTGAAGGCGATACTGTCACCGAAGCCTACGACGGGATGATTGCGAAGCTCATCGTCAGGGGTAGGGATCGCGAGACTACTATTAGGAAGATGGAGCTCGCTCTACGCGACTACGAAGTCGTAGGTTTGAGCACTAACATTGAGTTCTTGAAGCGTCTATGTAGGTCACCGGCGTTCATAGAAGGAGATGTCGAGACGGGCTTTATCGAAAAGTGGAAAGAGGAACTTTTCGATCCCGTGGTAATCAAGCCCGAAGTGTATGTGCAAGCGGCACTTGGTGCGTTTGCTTCTCAGGCCGCGGAAGTTGTTGAGCCTCATGGAGAAAGTCTCGGCTTTGGCTTAAACAGCAGTGAACGAACGTTCACTTTTAAGTCCCTGGATGTGTTAGATCAGAAAGAAGGAGAGGTGGTGAATGTTAGCATAACTCAAAAAGGAAACAGCTTGTTCGACGCTCGAGTCATACGGAAGGATGAAGATCCTCAGGTTTTTGAAGATCTCGTGTCTTCTCCCGTTTCAAGCTCCGACAAGACTAGTCTAATAACCTATTTCCCCCACACGCGGGTAGAAACGACAGTGGTCCAAGATCCCAACAACGATAACAAGGTCACCGTATTCCAACTTGGGACTAAGACGGAATTAATACTAGTATCTCCATCCTGGTACGAGAAAGCCTTGGGGTTGAAAGAGGTCACAGGGTCGGTTGCAGCTCCGATGCCTTGCAAGATCCTCAAGAACGAAGTCAAGGAGGGTGATAGAGTTGCCAAAGGAGCCCCGCTTGTTGTGTAAGTCCCCTTTCCCATTTTCTGACATGAAAACTCGGAGGTGTGCTCATATCAAGACCAGTATCGAATCCATGAAGATGGAAACAGTCATTCGATCACCACAAGATGGCGTCATCAAGAGACTCGCGCATAAAGAAGGGGTAAGTCTTTGCGTCTTACTAGTTAGGTCTCGTGATTGCTAACTCGAACTAAAGGATAAATGTAAAGCTGGCACGGTATTAGTGGTGTTTGAAGAAGATAGTATGGAGTAAGATTTAAGTGAGGATATAGTAGAGTGTTGCTAAAAGCTCTATGTTACACATGGTGTACGGTTTACGTGACTTGATTTATGACGAAGCATTATATAGGTAGTCAATATGACATGAATATCCTCTAGCGGGAATAAATTTTACTAACAGCTCATATGAGTCTAATGTCATGTCGAATTTTGAAAGTAGTTGGTGTTAGTCAACCTTTATAGAAGTTATGACACCAAGACCATACGCCTTTTGAGACATCAAATTTAAACCCGACTTAACATTAACTCGAGATACCACCAGTGGTTACTTACATAATGCAACGTCAACCTAAGCCCAACGTAAGTTTATTATCAGATGAGAGTACTAGGATAAAACATAGGAAAGCAGGGCCGTTAAGTACATAGGTAGGTTTTAGCATCAACTAGCAGTAGTGTCAAGTCAGAACGCGACCATAGGAAACACTATCTCCTAAAAGGAATATAACACAAGTAGAATAAAACATTGAGATTTAAAGTCACTTATAGCGTCCGAGGAGCGCAATGAAGGCTAGTAAGGTATTTTTAATAATTAAATTCTATGTGTTAGTCTTCGGCAATTGGAGTTTAGATCAGCTCAATCCTCCATGCGTAACCGCGACATATAAGACTTATCTCGCCTATAGAATAGTGCAACTAATAAGAGAAGAGTGGATCACTAAATATAAAATGAAATATATACTAATATACCTGCTAGCTGTTGCCGATGTTCCTAAGGGGCCAACGTGCGGTAGGTAGGTACATAGACACTTAGCAGAGCTCGGTATAAGTAGTAAGTTTAATTCGATTGCTACCATATACTCGATCAATATTAATTGAACACTTGTCAATTCGCCGGTCAGGGTAAACTGTTTATTAATCTACAATAACTAGAGCTTTCAAACGGATCACTTATACTTACCTTAGGTACCTATATCCCTACAACTGTCTCTCCCACACATCCACTTCTAAATCCCCTCGCTAGATATCCATATGTCCAACCCTCAATCCCCATCCCCATCCCCATCTTGATTTACCCGTTTACTCCTACTCTACCACCTCCTACGTCATACTCAGTCCCATCCGGGGGGGCGCCGAATCAGCTCCCCATTAGCAGCCACCTAGCTATCTCGGCCTGCCGTTCTGGGCAGCGCGGAATCCGTTATGTGTCTACTTATCTGTCTCGTGCGCGCGCATGTCCAAGCCATCGCCGCGCCACGGCAGCGCCATCAAATCGCCGATTGTCCGGGAAACGCCTCTTTTCCCCATATCCACCCTTCTTTTCTGCCTTCTTGTATCTATATATATATATATAGTACTCTTTGCGGAAGCGAGAAAGACAGCAAGCAGGCAAGCAAGCAAGCAAGCAAACAAGCACGCAAGTAAACAAGTGAGCCCGCTAGCATGATGTCTCAGCCCACGGTTGCCGGGTAAGTAGGTACTCAGCGCCGTAAGCATTCTGTATTTAGAAGCGTAGCCTAGATTGCGATGGGATAGGATACGATGTATCGCGCTATGTTGTGATGTATTGTTAGATAGGCTATTCCTACCGACTCCGCGCATGCGCATAACGTGTATTTCTACTCGCCGCTTGAAAAAAGACTCGGATAGTCAGGCAACTAGCAAACCGTATTAGACACGAGCGTAGTACGTCTCGGAACCCCTCCGGGAAAGTATAATAATAATTGCCATAATACTAATAATAATAAAGTCGATCTCCTCAAATGTGACTATACCCCCCCACAGCCACGAGCGCCAAGGGGGTTTGACCAAGACCAAGATTAACAATTTAACATGAGCCATTGGCCGGTGCGATCCATCCATAGGACTTCTCAGATACCTAACATAGTAGTCCGTGGCCGCGGCTGCGGCTGACAGCATTTCGAAGCTAGGCTACTTTATCTTGTATGGCGTTGCCTACCCGCTTGCTCACCCGCTTGATTGCTTGCTTGCTAACTACATACGTTGTGTCCCGTGTAACGCAATAATATACGGTAGTGTGCGAATAGGAAATAGCACCGGGTCCTAGCGAATGCAGGAATCCTCTCGTACGCCACTTACCGTAAGGCCAATGTTCTTCCCCGACCCTTGGTAAAAGGCAGATGTTATACCTAGTAGGTAGTAGCAGGTAGTATATAGGAGGTAGCATGGGCATATAGAGACAAACATAGATAGGTCATAATTTGAAAAGTAGATGAGGACGTAGCATCTAGATGGATAGGCAAGCATCTAAGTAAGGTAACTGTGGCGGGGCCACAGCGTCACCGTCGTATTCTAAGGCACGCACCCCGCGGGCGGGATCGGGGTCGACGAGGGCAAGATGGGCAAGATGGGCAAGATGGGCAACCGTAGGTAACACCCGCGGCAAGTAATATATGACCCCGTCGAGCACCTCCTTACCCGCCTCGCTTTGGTTGGGCGGAGAGGACTTGCAAAGGGTATGATCTAGGTAGAGCGAGATGGGAAATCGCAATATCGCAATATCCTTCATCAAAGGACGTGATTGTGACTGGGTGGGCGCGCAGCTTGGTGGCTAGATGCACGCGATGCGTGTCTTGGAGCCAGCCTATCCTCTTTCCTACCTAATATCCTAATACCTAATATCCTCCTGATCGGCGGTCTCATGGCTACGATATGATTGGCCCCTCTCGTTTAAGCAAGCTTGCTGCATATATATTATTATACATACCTATTATCCAAGCTGTTAAGGGAGAAGCATGATATGCGATGCGCGGAAGCCGTAGATTGGCATAGGACATGGGGGAAAGGGGGGCGAGAGGGCGATATTCGGGGTTTCGTCTAGAACCGTGATCCCCATTCCCCATTCCCCATCCCCGGTCGGCGACCCAGAAGATCAACGAACGCGGCTGTCGAAACGGCTGCGGTGGGTAGAACGGCCCGGAAGCGAGTGTAACGTCTCTCTGTGCCAACCTAAACCTAAGGGGTACATGACCCTGCTTCGGGAATTACCTGACCAAATGCCAAACGGCGTTTCTAACCGCTGACCATGACTAGGCGCTATTTGCTGCCGGATCATGGATGTAAAAAGAAAAAAAAGAAAAATTCTTGTTTGCGCGCACAAGGACGGTGAGATGGAGCGCAAAGGGATGGGCGAAACCCTGAATTTCTAGATGGCAACGTGCTAATAGATTGGCTCGGCATTGCGATATAAAAAATTAAGCGTCATTAAGCGTCTAGATACGGTGCTCGCTGCGGGAATCCTGCAGAGCATCCTAGGAATCCTAGACTGACGAATGAGGTATGCCGAGTGGACACCGGCATAATGCGGATTATAGATGAGAAGGGAACTATCGGGAGATCCATCTCCTCACCCATCTTGAACTACGTGACAGGTCGTAACAAGGCTCCTCGGTGGTCGTGTGTGTTAGTTAGTCTGTTAGTTAGTCTAAAAGCAAAGCAATGGTACTGAGGACATATTTGGTTCGAATGTGACCTCGCTCTCTCGTGTCCGTTTGCGGGAGGTAAGACAAGTAGCGGGTGGATGTTGTTGATGTTGCTTCATTTGTAGTGAAATCTCAGCAGCGGTCGGCGGTTTGCGTCGTGGGCGTCCACACTACCTAGGTAGGTATTTCACCGGCTTGGCGTAACACATATCGCGATTTTCTGCACGCTCCCGTTGGTTGGCTTGGTCTGCTTACAGCATAGCTACCTTACCTATGCTTTTTCTGAAGGCTGTTAGAATTGTTAAAACATGTTCGAATTTCGATATACGGATGACCCAAGCATGATAGGTCTATGGAAGTCCAGATCCTTCGAAAGATCGTTCTAGCTCTGCGATACTCTTCGTTTCAGATATCCTTCTTACGCACACACCTAAACAATAATATGCGAAAAGGCGATGTGTTGTCCTTGTCTATAAGCAACTCTAGATCCTAAGGTGCATTTAGCTAAAAGCCAATATGATTCGTATGAAAACGCCTTGCATGTTCTCTCTATACGGCTTACCTGTTGTGTAATATGATAGTACAGATATAACTTCCTGATAGTATGCAGTAGGTTGTACGTGACAGAGCGTACAGCAGAGCAAATTGACAGAACGCCGTTAGCTGTACGATCCCAACCTCACGTACGAGAATTCTAGGTCGCGTATCTATCCACGCATATTCTCCAGAAATTAGAGCTTAAATTCCATACATTTCAATGGCCCAGAAATAGAGGCGTAGAATGGCTTATGGAACTACCTCCTATCCAATGAGCATGCCGAATAACTAGGCTGTTCCAATTCTACGGCGACGGCCAAGTGCCAAGTGTCGATCTCTTCGATTTTATGCAGATATTACGATAAATCCGGATGCTTCCATAGCCCCCAAGCTTAGCTCGAGCTCTAATCAATGCATAGATTGCAGCTTGTCGGAAGACTTACGGTCTAATACGTCAAGGAGACTGGTTGAGGTTGTGACAAGAGAGGTAAGGCAGATGGATATTCCCGCTTCTCTTCTAGATTCGCACTGGACCCTGATATCTGTTAACGCACGTGTGTTAATGCGATACTCGTCGTTGGTCCGAGAGTTCCGAGTACAGTAGATCGCTGCCGACAGCGGCTTTAGTCTCCAATGGCTTTAACTAGAAGCCGAAGCGTAGTAGCCGTGCAGTTTGGATGGAATGACAACCAGCGAATCACAAGGGCAGCGGCCGTAATCTCTTCTAGGAGCCACATATCGCGGTGCTTCAAGGGTGTTACTATAGGCCGAGGGTGGGTGGCCTCGACGCAAATGGAAAACGTATTCTAGTATGTAATCATTGATCCACCCCACGGTAACAAATGAAGCACCTCTTAGTCCACCGCTCCCGGGTTTAATATCAGAACCGCCTAAAGTTAGGTAGTTTAGAGAGGGTACTGAGGAGTCGTCTGCGGAGGCTTGAATTCCCCAACACTAGACATGGTTGGTATGAATAAGCTAGTTGTAAGACGTGCATGCAGGTAAGATGTTCTGGAAGAAATCTCGGATGTTCGATAGATGATGCCAATGGGGGGGGGGGCATGTTGCCGACGTCTTCGATTCGGTTTGCAGAACATATACATAGAGCAATTCGGTACCACTAAATATCTCTAGAGCTCGAGGGACGTATAAGGCTTTCGCTTAGTGATATAAACATAGCGTATCGACAACTTTGCAACCCTCCAGACCTGTTAACCCTTGGCGTACATATCGGTGCTGGTTAAGTCTTAGATTGATCCAGTACCGTGTTGCGGTGGCGGTGGGAAGGCGGGGTTAAAGCTAGAATGTACATACATTATTATGTACGTAGTAATAGGTAGCACTTGGCATGGGCCCCCATTGGAGTTCACCCACGATCCTTCAACTGATGGATATCAGATAGGTATAAGCCTGGGTCTTAGCTCGACTTATAAGATGAAGTGCGTGAAGAAAGACCCCAAGGAGATATATCCGCTCTTAATTACCAATCCCCAATCCCAACCTACTATTGCCAGTTATTGGGCGATCGTCGAGGTATTGTTCTTCGAAGAAAGCATATAGACATGATTTCATCTCACACCGTCTTTTCAGCCCTAAGGTTTCCGGGAGTATTAATCGAATCCTCTTAAGGACGAGGCAAGAAGGCCCATGGATCCTACGTGGCCTTCCCCTCGCAGGTCCGTCTATGTCAGAAATAACGGCGCTACTCCCACATCTTCTGAGTTAGTTTCTTAATAAAGCATTACTTACCTAGGTAGTTGCTCGACGTATCCATCTCGCGCCATCATGAGGCTCACCTGAGCACCAATTTAAAAAGCTTGTCACGTAGAGCATGATGCGGATTGGTGGGCGGATTGGTCTAGTTCGGCGTCGTTAGGGACGACGTGATGATGATACATACTTTCTATCCTCGCTTGTGATGCTGTGTTATGATGGCTTTTCTTTGTGCTGGTCTGCCTTGTGCCACCAACACATATCCCGACCCACGCTCATCAAGTTTACGCTACGGATTAGTTAGGTTCATGAACCGACAGTATAACACGTATGTACGGTATGTATGCATACCTAGGTAGGTAGGCAGGCCGTGTATCACCCATTGTTTAGGTATAATTGCCACCAAATGACGTTTCCCTAATACTATGGATTGCTTGCTTGTTTTTTCTTTGCATCTGCTTTGCATCTGCTTTGCGTTTTCCGGGCCGGCTGGCAATTCTGTAACGCTTCAGCCGCTGGAGAGATTTCCTTTTTGGCGCCGGAGAATCCTGATTCCTGGGCTGACCGGAAAAGCTAGTCTCATATTGCCCATGCTTTCTGGCCGGTTTTTATCGTCAAAAATCAATCAAATGACCCAACCGAAAGACCAGCGACGAATGGGGATTAGAAGATGCACTACTCGGCTCCCATGCCCCAATACCGTGTGAAGTTGACGATATCGCGCAACGATCGTGCTTCGCGATCCTCCGGTACCCATGAGAGAAGGTACGTAGCGGTCTTGGCCATCGATATACCTTACCCATCAGAGCATGGTGCTGCATTCATCGTAAGCACCAGTCTGGGGTAAGGAAAGATCTGGGTAAAAGTTCTCGGGTTTGATAGCGTGAAGGATTCTACCTCAATGTACGGTTATACCAGGTAGATAAACTGCAGTACAGCCGCAGTACTCAGAAGTGATATGTCAAAAATAGTAGACTGATGGACCATCTAGACGAACGACTATCAGGTTAGCCAACAATTAGTCTGGGTCTTT